CATCCCCTCCTCCTCCTCCTCCTCATCCACCCAATCCTCATCAGCCTCCGCTGCGTCTGCTTAGTCGTCTTACTATTAGTAGTAGTATACGTGTCAGTACGAGTAGTATTAATAATACTAGTAACATCCCTATTCCTAGTATGGTTCTTAGTATGCGTAGTATGGCCTGTCATCTTCTGCTTAGTAGTATCAATGTATCCCTTCGTAGTATTATTCGGCGTGTTCGCACGATTCGTCTTAGTAGTAGTAGTAGTCGTCGTAGTAGTAGTAGTAGTAGTAGTAGTAGTAGTGATGGTAGTAGTAGTAGTAGTAGTAGTAGTAGTAGTAGTAGTAGTACTGGTATGTGTCTTCGCAATGTTCTGTTTACCAATAGTATTCGGTATAGTAGTATGTTTAGTCTTCGTAGTATTCGCCTTAATACCCTTCTTTTTATTGGTAGTAGTAGTAGTAGTAAGATTAGTGTTAGTCTTCGTAGTACTACGATTATTGTCAGCATTAGTAGCACTAGTAGCGTTAATGTTCCTCATCATCCTCTACCTCCTCATCTTCATCCGCCTCCCCCTCATTCTCCCCCGTCGCATCCTCATCCTCCTCCTCCGCATCCCCTCCTCCTCCTCCGCCTCCTACTCCACGTCCTCTTCTTCGTACTCGTAATAGTCGTTGGACTGTGATTGTTCGTAGTCGTCATCTCCTTTAGTCCTCATTAGCAGGTGGTGGTCATCGTCTTATCCGGATGCATGGTATTCGCATGCGCTTTTCTTGTTCGTATATTAATGTTCCTGAATTATCATCGCCTTAGTCTTCTTCGTAATAGTCGCCGTGGCGTATGCAGTGTTTCGTCTACATTCCTATCTTTAGTGAACTGATTGCTGTTACGCAGTAGCATCATTACTAGTTTTCGTAGTAGAATTTAGCTTATTCGTATTACTATGTGCATGGTCTGCGTCGCCGTTTTTTCTTATCAAAGGTATCATGCGTGGTAGCTTATCATTCGTCCTCCTCCTCCCTCCTCCTCCTCCCTCTCCCTCCTCCCTCCTCCCCCCTCCCGCCCTCCCCCTCCCCCCTCCCCCCTCCCCCCTCCCCGCCTCCCCCCTCCCACTCCCCCCTCCCCCCTCCCACCCTCCTCCTACCTCCTCCCTCCTCCCTCTCCCTCCTCCCTCTCCCTCCTCCCTCCTCCTCCTCCCTCCTCCTCCTCCCTCCCCCCTCCTCCCTCCCCCTTCCCCCTCCCTCCCTCCCCCTCCCCTCCCCCTCCCCTCCCCCCTCCCCTCCCCGAAGAACACCCCCTCCCCCTCCCCCTCCCCTTCCCCCTCCCCCATCCTCCCCCCGCCCCTCCTCCCGCCCTCCTCCCTCCCTCCCTCCTCCCTCCCTGCCGCTCCTCCTCCTCCCCTCTCCTCCCCGCCTCCTCCTCCTCCCCGCCTCCACCTCCTCCTCCTCCTCCGCCTCCTCCTCCGCCTCCTCCTCCTCCTTCTGGCGGCGCGGTGTTTCTGCGGGGAGGCGCGCCAGGCGCACGGCCGCGAACGGCCGCCGCGGGGGGGGGGAGGGGGGGGGGCGCGCGGCGGCCGCTAGTCGGGTTCCCCGCCCTGGTCGCACTCCAGCCGTCGAGGGGCGCCAAGTGCCCGCCCTGCTCCGACGAGCGCCCAACGTCAGAGGAGGAGAAGGCGCCCATGCCTCTACCCCTCCCTCGTTTTCCCCTTCCTGTGCCTCCCTGGAGGCCCTCGTCGCCACCGCTGGATTCGCCATGACATTCTCGTCAGAACGCATCCCGGAGAAATCCAGGGAGTAGCGGTATCGATACCTCTTGATTTCCCCACAAATGTGTGGCGACATCCGAGAGAACACGTCTCGTGGAAGCCTGCTCGGAAAAATCATTGGACACGTCGGCGCCGGCCTTGCCCCCCCCCCCCTCTCAGAAAGCACCTGAAGGGCTAAGAAAACCTTTGGGGGCGGATGGGAACTGGACGCCGATCTAACCGCCCCGCACCCCCCTCCCCCTCCACGGGTGGGGGTCGTACCGCCCCCGCCTCCCATTAGTAGAATCCGATCAGTGCTCTATCAACCTCTCACAAAATCCGACTACAACGATAACAGCATCCTAGCCGAGCTCGAGCCACAATAAAATCCGACTATAGCTGGATCAAGCTCGATTTAAATCATACCATATAACATCCTAAACTAGCTGGATCCAAGTTGGATTGCATCCTCGTCGGGCTCGATCCAACTTAAATCGAATACTACTATACACCCCCAGGCCGAAAGTTTGTTCCTCTTGGACTCAAAATATGAGAACATCAATGGATCCAATTTGATCCTTGTTTCGGGTGCGGGAGAGTCTCGTGGATCATATTTCTGTGTTGCGCGGATCCAATTTCCTGTGTGAACAAAAAACGATGGACCTATTTATTTCCCGAGAATAATGTATCATAACAATTAACATCCGGGGCCCAGGGGAAATGGGATCCGCGGAACACCGCAAGTGAAGCATCATGCTATCCACGGAGCTGTGGATCTGCAGACCAATGCTCTGATTCTACGGGGGAGGGGGGTCTTCCCAGGATGAGGAGGGGAAAGATGAGGGAAGAGGCAAGAGGAGGTGGGAGGAGAACAGAGGGGATCGGCGCGTCGCTTCCGACATGTGGGGCTCAAGAGGAATATCTTTCGGCCTGCGTAAGTAGGTGGGTGAAGCTCATAACTGAACCCTACTGTAAGGCTCGATGAACGTCACATAAAATCCGACTATGCCTAGACCCAGCTCGAACAGAATCCTATTTGAACTCGATCCAGCTCTAATGGAATCAATCACGGGCTCGACCCAGTCTCAACAGCATCCTACTAAGGCTCGATGGTCGTCGTCGTTGCCCGACGGTCGTCGTTGCCCGACGGCGCTGGCACTGGCGCCGGCGCTCACCGTCGTAGCTTGCCACTGGGGAGGGAGGGGGGGCGGCTCGAACCATCCCCCCCTTGCAGGGAGGGGAGGGAGGGGGCGGTTTGAACCCCCTCCCCTGGTTCGAACCCCCCCGCCATTGCATTTCAGAGTGGGGGGTGGGGGGGGGGCAGTTCGAACCACCCCCCACCCTGCCCAGCGTCCACACAACGCGCTCTCTCCGGCATCCGAAAGCTACCCCCACCAACCATCGGCTCGTCTGAATCGATATGGGGGTCGGGGGTAGGACTCTGATTTCGCTCATTGTTCGACGAAGTCCGAACTCTACGCCTACAGTCGGCCATCAGGGATGAACAGACCTCCCTTTAGTAAAACGTGGTTTAGTGAAAACGACCTGAGGCCCAAACCTGGCGGGCGCAAGCCTGGAAAATAACGGCCACGGCGCCCTCTCGAAAACCGAGAACGGACAATTCACTAATCGACGTGTCACTGTTGGGGGTTCTGCCCACCCCCGAGGCCAGTATCGGAGGATGCGCGATGAGGATGCAAGGGCCCTGGCCGCCCATTTCGAAGCTGTTCGACTGGAGCGCGGCCAACGAAAGTGGCCAGGATGGACCGACGAGGCAAGGACGCAAGGGTACCCTTGAGAAGGATGCCCATCCTTATTATGCGAGGGGCACAAGCAAGAGGGTGACCTCTGGTGCGCGTCGCCGCGGGGGGCCGCCGGTGGCGGAAGGGGGGAGGGGGGGGCAGAGCCGGGCGCGCTGGGGGGACCCCCTCGTTTAGAGGCCTCCTAGCTGGGGTCCGAGCAGAGGGGGTCGACGGATCGCGCCGCATTGCCAATGCATCGCCGATGTATCGGCGATGCATCGGCGATGCATCAGCGACGTCGGTGATGCATCCATCGGCGACGTCGGCGTGAAGCAAAGTCGGGCTCCGCATCGAGCCGCACCGCCGATGCATCGGCGATGCGGCGCGACCCTCCGACCCATGTACCCCCACTCCATCGAGGAGGCCTAGAGGGAGAGGTGGAGGGTGGGTTCGGGGGCGGCAAAGAGGGCAAGAGGGGGGGTGCAAATCATGACCGGCGGCATGTGCGCGGCCCAGCGGGGGGGCCAGGGACGTCATGAAATAAGAAGAGGCGCCATGAAATCTGGGAAATGTCATGGCCCCCGCCATGATATCCACCCCCCCGTAGTCATCACCCACCTCTTTTCCGTCCCCGATGGGTGTGTGTGTGTGGGGGGGGCGGGGGGGAGGGGCAAATCCGGGCGCGCTGGGGGAACCCCTTGCTGGCCCGCACCCAGGGCCACTCCGGGCGAGGGCCCCTCCCTGCATGCCCAGGGGACTGCCCCAGAGGGGTTCGGGTCTCCACCTTCCTGGGCACGGGATCGGCCTGGCCAGGATCGGCTCCTCCTCCTCCGCCTCCTCCTCCGCCGCCTCCTCCTCCTCCTCCGCCTCCTCCGCCTACTCCTCCTCCGCCTCCTCCTCCTCCGCCTCCTCCTCTTCCTCCTCCTCCTCCTCCTCCTCCTGGGCGGTCGGTTGGCGCCCCCCGGAAGCTGCCGCGAGGAGCGGATCACCAGGCGCCCGCTGAGGCCCCTGAAGCGGAAGCTGCGCCCCCCCTCCGTGCTCTCCAGCCAGTCGATGTCGGCCTCCCGTCGTCGCGGGCCCCCCCGCTGCGGCGGAACGTCGGGGGGGCACCCGCTCAGGGGGGGGAAGGCATCGAGCTGGAATCGGGGATGCTTCGCCGATGCACCCGATGGCAGATGCCCATGCTCCCTGGCGGGGTGGGCCATCGGGCCCCCACTTGCGACGAATGGGCGCTTGGGGGTCGACGCGCCCCCCCCCCCCCAAAAACGTTGCCCCGGACTCGTCCTTCTCCCTCCGCCCCCGGGTTGGACAGCAGACTTCCCCTTGGGCCAGCGCGTCGTCCTGAGCCGCTTTGGACGGCCCCAGGGCCCAGAATTGAGCATCGTTTAACCGATCCTCCTCCCCACTCGCGTGGCCTGAGCCCCACTGGCCGGTTCAGACCCCCTAGATGGGGATACATCCCCAGGACGAAAGTGTTTTCCTCTTGGGCCCGGAACCACGGCTTGAAGTCTTGAGCAAACGCGTATGAAACAACCGCCGTTGGATCCCATGAAGTTGGCGCGGATCCAAGTGTGGTGTTGGTGTTTGTTTCGGTGGATCCGGTTTTCGTCCGCGCGGATCGGATTTCGGATTTGCTGGATCCGTGTTCGGTCCTATCTGTTACGGCGGATCCGATGTTTACCCCGTTTAAAATTTACATTATTATATGAAAACGGGAAACTGGAAGAAATCGGACCCGCGGACCCTGGAACCTGCCCGTGTTAAGATTATACGGGGGAAGGGGGCTCGGTCATAAACTTCCAACTCATCATCGCCATCTGCACCTCAAGAGGAAAAACCTTTTGTCCTGCACAAGCACGGGCAGTTTCTGTCAGCTTTCGAGGGGTATATTTTACCTAACAGCGAAGACTGATAGGTTTCTAGTAGGGTCAAAAGAGAGCATCATGACGCCCCAGGGGGCTCTGGGCGCGATCCGGGGGAGGATGCCGGGGAAAACCGGGGACTCTTTTTTTAGCCAACAGTAACGCACTTCGTGGTCTTCGAGTTCCCAGAACTTCATTCCATGATTTTGAATGCCCGGAGCCAACTGTAGGCCACTTCGTGGTCTTCGAGTTCCCAGAGTTCCATTCCTGGGCATGATTTGGAATGCCCGGAGCCAACTGTAGGCCACTTCGTGATCTTCGAGTTCCCAGAACTCCACTCCTGGGCATGATTTTGAATGCCCGGAGCCAACCGTAGGCCACTTCTTGGTCTTCGAATTCCCAGAACTCCATTCCCGGGCCACATTTTGAATGCCCAGAGACAACTGTAGGCCACTTCGTGTTCTTCGAGTTCCCAGAACTTCATTCCCGGGCCACATTTTGAATGCTGATGCAGGCTGAGGCTGAGGCTGAGGCTGAGGCTGATGCAGGCTGAGGCTGAGGCAGGTTGAGGCTGAGGCCGAGGCAGAAGGCAGACTGAGGCTGAGGCTGAGGCAGGCTGAGGCTGAGGCTGAGGCAGGCTGAGGCTCAGGCTGAGGCAGGCTGATGCTGAGGCAGGCTGAGGCTGAGGCTGAGGCAGGCTGAGGCTGAGGCTGAGGCAGGCTGAGGCTGAGGCTGAGGCAGGCTGAGGCTGAGGCAGGCTGATGCTGAGGCAGGCTGAGGCTGAGGCTGAAGCAGTCTGAGGCTGAGGCAGGCTGAGGCTGAGGCTGAGGCTGAGGCTGAGGCAGACGCTGAGGCAGACGCTGATGCAGGCTGAGGCTGAGGCAGGCTGAGGCAGGCTGAGGCCGAGGCTGAAGGCAGACTGAGGCTGACGCTGAGGCAGGCTGAGACTGAGGCAGGCTGAGGCTGAGGCAGGCTGAGGCTGATGCTGAGGCAGGCTGAGGCAGACGCTGAGGCTGATGCAGGCTGAGGCTGAGGCAGGCTGAGGCTGAGGCAGGCTGAAGGCAGACTGAAACTGAGGCTGAAGCAGGCTGAGGCTGAGGCTGAGGCAGGCTGAGGCTGAGGCTGAGGCAGGCTGAGGCAGACGCTGAGGCAGGCTGAGGCTGAGGCTGAGGCCGAGACCTGACTGACTGGCAGGCTGAGGCTGAGGCTGAGGCAGGCTGAGGCTGAGGCTGAGGCAGGTGAGGCTGAGGCTGAGCAGGTGAAGCTGAGGCTGAGGCAGGCTGAGGCTGAGGCTGAGGAAGGCTGAGGCTGAGGCTGAAGCAGGCTTAGGCTGAGGCTGAGGCTGAGGCTGAGGCTGAGGCTGAGGCTGAGGCAGGCTAGGGCTGAGGCTGAGGCTGACGGCAGCGCGGTGCAGGTGAGGCTGAGGCAGACGCTGAGCAGGCTGAGGCTGAGGCAGGCTGAGGCTGAGGCCGAGGCTGAAGGCGACTGAGGCTGAGGCTGAAGCAGGCTGAGGCTGAGGCAGGCAGGCTGAGGCTGAGGCTGAGGCAGGCTGATGCTGAGGCAGGCTGAGGCTGAGGCTGAGGCTGATGCAGGCTGAGGCTGAGGCAGGCTGAGGCTGAGGCTGAGGCAGGCTGAGGCTGAGGCTGAGGCAGGCTGAGGCAGGCTGAGGCTGAGGCTGAGGCTGAGCAGGCTGAGGCTGAGGCAGGCTGATGAGGCTGAGGCAGGCTGAGGCTGAGGCTGAGGCTGAGGCTGAGGCTGAGGCTGAGGCTGAGGCTGAGGCTGAGGCTGATGAGGCAGGCTGAGGCTGAGGCCTGAGGCTGATGAGGCAGATGAGGCTGAGGCTGAAGCAGGCTGAGGCTGAGGCAGGCTGAGGCTGAGGCTGAGGCAGGCTGAGGCTGAGGCTGAGGCAGGCTGAGGCTGAGGCTGAGGCTGAGGCTGAGGCCGAGGCTGAAGGCAGACTGAGGCTGAGGCTGAAGCAGGCTGAGGCTGAGGCAGAGGCAGGCTGAGGCTGAGGCTGAGGCAGGCTGATGCTGAGGCTGAGGCTGAGTGAGGCTGAGGCTGAGGCAGGCTGAGGCTGAGGCTGAGGCTGAGGCTGAGGCAGAGGCTGAGGCAGGCTGAGCAGGCTGATGCTGAGCTGAGGCTGAGGCTGATGCAGCTGAGGCAGGCTGAGGCTGAGGCAGGCTGAGACTGAGGCTGAGGCTGAAGCAGGCTGAGGCTGAGGCAGGCTGAGGCTGAGGCTGAGGCAGGCTGATGCTGAGGCTGAGGCAGGCTGAGGCTGAGGCTGAGGCTGAGGCCGAGGCTAAAGGCAGACTGAGGCTGAGGCTGAAGCAGGCTGAGGCTGAGGCTGAGGCAGGCTGAGGCTGAGGCTGAGGCAGGCTAATGCTGAGGCAGGCTGAGGCTGAGGCTGTGACTGCGACTGCCGTTCCCACTGCGACTGTCATCGCGAATGCGACTGCGACTGCGAGAACAGCAGAATTGTACAGCTGGATTCTCATCTGAATCTTAAGGGGAATGCTTCCAGATATGCTTTTACACATCGCTGTTAGGTTGCTTTGCCGGGGTATTTTGTTCAACTGGGGGCTGAGGTGGTGGGGGCCTGGCTGGGGATGGGGATGGGGATGGGGATCGGTGAAATGATACTGAAGAATGGCCCCCCCGAGTGATGAACCAACAATATACACCCATACCCATAGGGGGATCGGAGAGGGCTATGGGTGCGTGTTGTCGGATGGGGGTCCCCGCTCGAATGGGAGCGTTCCCCAGGGTCCGACAACCCGCACCCATACCCATAGCCAGTCCTCCTCCCAACGACCCCCCTATGGGTATGGGTGCGTGCTGTCCGTTCGTCACCGAGACCGACAGCGGCTTCGAACAAAAACTCCGTCGGAAGGACTCGGGCACCCAGGCCACCAGCGGCCGCCCGGAGAGAATGCTGCGGCCACCCCTGTGTCGCGAGCTGTGCTGGGCCCGCTGGCGGCCCTCCGGGACGGCGACGACGACCGGCGACTCCCAAGGGTGTGGTTTGCCAAGGGTGTGGTTTGCACCCGGCCCCCTGGGGAACCTCCTGGGGGGGCACCCTGGGGGCGCGCAGGGGACCTCGATGGAGTGCTCCCGCGCCCCGGCGAGGCAGACGAGGACAGCGCCGTGCCCCCCAGGCCCCAACGGTGCCGGTCGCAAACCTCACCCCGGCGTGACCATGGCATGCCCAGTGTCGTCGCCGAGACGAAGAGATTGTTTGTTATCCCCGGTAACAGTCGTCACCAGGGAAGGGGCTGGGACAAGGGCACCAGAAACGCTTGGGCGGGGAGGGGCACGTAGGGGCGGGGGTGCGCTGCGATCGCCATCTTATGTGTGGGGGGGGGTTCAGGCCGTTCCACCCCCCCCCCCGCACGATCGTCTTTTTGCGGCGAGCGTAGGGGGGAAGTGAGGAGGGTCGGCCCTTCTCAGAAAGCTCAGACGTCCCCCAGCCTTCTGACAGGTTTTCCAAGCCTGCCCCGAAGACACGGAAAACGTCTCAGAAGGCGCGAGGGTTTCTGAGAAGTCCCGCCGCCTTCTGAGAAGGCCTTCTCCTTCTCATTCCCCCCCCTCCCCCCGCACGATCGTTACAGTTACCCCGGGGAGGATGCTTGGCCCAGGTAGCGACCGCTACGCACCAGAGGGGGCAACGACAATTCAGAACACTGCAAGGGGAAGGGAAGAGGGAGGATGAAGAGGAACGGAGATAGATGAGGATAGATCAGACGGCAGTCCTGGGCTGGCCCCGGCAGGGAGCTGGCCCTCAGCTCGCAAAGCCGCTACTCTCAGGCCGATGACCTTGAGGTCGGCCAGCCCCATCACAGACGAGCCCCAAACCGCCGTGGCCGAGCTCCTGAATACCCCCTCCGCCGCAGCACCTGCACCACGCACGGCGCCCTCGCGCTGGGCTGCTGCCTCCGCCCTGGCAAACCTGTTGTTATGCTCCATGGCGCTGCGCTTGCCGCCGTCGGAGCCGCCGCCTCCAAGGCCCCTCGCGCCCCTGGGCCGCTCGGTCCTGCCATACGCCTCCTCCAAAAGCCTGCCTAGCTGAGCACTGGCCCTGAGCCAACCACCGGTCTTGTCCCACTTGGTTCGCAGCCTCCTGCCAACGAGGAAGCGGAGAGCACCGAGAAGCTGTTCAGCCACGAGCTTGACCGTGCCCAGCACCTGCAGCATCTGGTCGCCCACCAGCGACTGCGCGCACCACTGCGGGGCAGCGCCTCCCGCGCTCGACCAACAGCGTGTGCACCATGAGCGTGGCCAAGCCCAGAGCGCAAGAGCAACCGGCCCCGGTGGCACCGGTGCCCCAAAGGAGGAGGAAGAGGGGCCCACGCCACTGACAAGGTCCCCACTCCCGCCACTCTTCGGACCGCGGGCCGCGGGGCGACTCAGAACGCCGTCGACGGGGGCGACCTGTTCGCCGGAGGGTTTGTAGGAGAAGAAAAGGAGGAGGAGGAGGAGGAGGAGGAGGAGGAGGAGAAGGAGGAGGCGGAGGTGGAGGAGGAGGAGGAGGAGGGGGAGGGGGAGGGGAGGAGGAGGAGGAGGGGGAGGGGGAGGAGGAGGAGGAGGAGGAGGAGGAGGAGGAGGAGGAGGAGGAGGAGAGGAGGAGGAGGAGGAGGAGGAGGAGCAGGCGAAGGAGGAGGAGGAGGAGGAGGAGGAGGAGCTCTCTGGCCCCGTCTCGGGCGTCGCGCGCCTGAAAGACCGAGCCGGGCGCCCCAGCGGTGGCCATGCGCACGGCCGTGCGGTAGCTGTCGAAGCCGCCGCGGCCGTTCTGCACGCAGAGCGCGTGCGCGCCCCAGCACCTCCCGCGTGTTCGACGATGGCCCCCTTGTTACCAATCGCTCCTGGGCCGTCGTCGGCGGTCGTCGGCGGTCTTCGGGCGGTCTTCGGGCGGTCTTCGGCGGTCTTCGGCGGCCTTCGGACGGTCTTCGGCGGCGTCCGGCGAACTCTGGCGGCTTCCAGCGGTGCTCGGCGCGAGAGCTGGAGGGTTGCGTTCAACAAGGGGGTCCATGATCGAACGCCTGACACCTCGAGATTTGGGACGACCGAAATGGTGCCCGTTTTGTATCATTCGCGGTGACGCCCGCGACAAGCCTCGCCCCATACCCCCCACCCCCTCCTCGGCCACTTACACGCCAGTGCCCCTAGACAGACGGACCTTTGGTGCGCGGCTTCAGGGTATCTCCAGGAGCTGTCTGGGAACCCAGAAAGGTACCTCTGGGAGCACTCTGGCGCCCGGAAAGGTACCTCCGGGAGCTTTCTAGGAACCCGCACAGGTACCTCGTGGAAGATCTCTGGAAGCCAGAAAAGGAACCTCCAGGAGCTCTCTGGGGGCCCGAAATGTTCCTCCGGGAGCTCTCTCGGGAGCCGGGGCTCGGGAGCTCTCTGGGACCGCGGGGGGGCAAAAACAAAGCGCGCAGGGCGGCAGAGACGGGGGCCTGTGTGGGCCCACAGCAGTCGTCAGGTCGGGCATGTGCTCCTACAGGCGAATTTCTGGAAAATAGACATGATCAAAACATACTTCTTGCACGATCGTACAGGCGCCTAGCAGGATGCACAACCAACACTTTGAACAAAACAGAATGCCTGTTGGAGGCCTGCCTCGTTTTCGTGCTGCGAGCGAGCGCGCGCGCGTAGCTGCACTGCATGACGCAACAGCAGGCGGACCACAGGTCACTCCAGCGAAGGGGCCCTCCTGCGTGCAGCCGAACCCCCCGATCGAAAGGACTATCAAGCCTGCTCGGATGCTGATGTGTTTTGTGTGTTTTGTGTGCCAAGCGCAGGTAGCTTTCGCCCTCCAGGGGCTCTTCAGCCGAAATGGCACTGCACAGAAGCATCGGATGAAAGGTCGCTCGCATTTTGTAGAAAACTGTACATGCGAGCGACCTTTCCCCCGTGGTCGCGTCAGATTTTCACGCTGGCGCCGTCCAGGAAAGCGAATCGTGACGCGACTGCCCCCCAAGCCGAAGCCAGGACAAGGATAAATCGGGCGAGGGTCAATCGAGGGTCTCGGAGATCCAGCGGTTCCGATGGATGTATCGAGCGCCGCGGCCTTATCAGAGCGTTCCGGAACGCTCTGGAAGCGTTTTGGAACGCTCGGGAACGGATTAATCCTCGTCCTTGCCCTGGCCGACCCCCCCGCCGCGCACGCCCGTGATCGCCAGGGGATGATGAAAGTAACGGTCTCTGGTCTCCTGGGACACCCGACGGGGACGGGGAAAACTTGCAGGCGCTGCCCCACAACGCATGTCGTCCAAAACCTACACGGGCCGCTGTTGGGCAACAACGTCCGGGGCGACATCGGCAGCGACACCGACAGCGAGCTGATCTCGGTCTTCGTCCCCATTCTTTCCGTTCCCATGCACGGGCCGCTGTTGGGCAACAACGTCCGGGGCGACATCGGCAGCGACACCGACAGCGAGCTGATCTCGGTCTTCGCCCCGAAAACCGGCCCCCTGGGACGGGGGTCGGTCGGGGCCTGCAGGGCCGCGGATCGAACGCAAAATCACACCGGCTGATGCCTGGGTTCGGGGGTGGACCGGACCCCTTGCCCTTGTATTAAGTCGGGTATGCCCTCCTACAGGTGGGTCTTGGGGAAATAAATAACCCAAAAATGCTCAGAATCAGTCAAAACGAATCGAGGAATCGTCCCCAGGTTATGTTTGCGACTATTTCTGAATGATCCTCCTGTAGATGGTCGGCGGCGAGCCCGGTGGGAAGAGAGAACGAGAAGGCCTTCTCAGAAGGCGGCGGGACTTCTCAGGAGCCCCATAGCGCCTTCTGAGAAGTTCTTGTCGCGTCTTCGGGGAAAGCTTCGACAACTTTTCAGAAGGCCGGGGGGCTTCCGAGCCTTCTGAGAAGGCTTTCTCCTCCTCACTTCCCCACCTCGCTCGCCGCCGAAACTGAACCCTCGTAGCAAGACACTCTTCGCGAGACCAGTAGCGGGCGCGCGCCCGCGAAAGAGTTGCGGCCGCACCACCCTCTCGAGCGCAGAACAACGGGGCACTTCGGACATCGACGTTGGAGGGCGGGGGTTGTATCCTCCCAGGGGGAGGAGGAGAGGGAGGGGGAGGAGCAGAAGGAGAAGGAGGAGGAGGAGGAGGAGAAGGAGGAGGGGGAATGGAAGGGAGAGGAGGAGGAGGAGGAGGAGGAGGAGGAGGAGGAGGAGGAGGAGGAGAAAGAAGAGGAGGAGGAGGAGACCCTCACGGATCATAAGGATGCGCGATAAGGATGCAAGGGCCTTGGACGCCCATGTCGAAGCTTCTCGAGCGGGGCGCCATGCCGACGAAAGTGGCCAAGGATGGACCGAGGAGGCGAGGATGTTGCCCTTGGGAAGGTTGCCCATCCTTACCATGCGGGTTGACTGTATCGCCCTCCGACCCACTTGGGACCCCGGAGCCCTGACGGATCGATCTGGCCCGAGAAGTGTCGCAGAAAAAGATGGCGCCTGGGGCTCCAGTCGGAACTTCTCCTGGTGCTGCAGTTGTTCTACGCCGCCCAGTCTCAAGCGGCCAGCTACGCAGTACGCATCTCAACATCCGCCTCATGTATCATCGTCTTCTGCCTGGCCCCCCAGAGCCTCAAAGCAGCACAGGAGGCAGAGAGTTACAGCCGATCGAAGCTTTCACCACTCTGCCAGTGCACATCTACACGGTATCTTTTCTGCCGATGCGCCCTCGAGGCGCCCGCCTCCTTGCTTGCTCGCCGAATCTCGAGGGAAACGGGTCCTGCGGGGACGCGGGGTCCTGGAAATTGGTCGCCGTCTCTTGGATTTAAGATGGGGTCCTGGGGGAAAGCCCAATGGCCTCTAGAAGATGAGAAACCTGCATACACATGAGTACACGTCGTTCATTTCTAATCGTGCTCATTTCTAATTGTGCTCGTTCGTAATTGCTCCTGACCCCCCAATGGCCAGGAAGAGGCCCAGGATAGAAGGATTAGAAACGAAAGGATCAGGGCCCCAAAATTATCCCAGAGCGACCCTACCTAGGAGTTAGAGCCCCGAGGAGAGCAATATTAGTAGTATCAGTAAACGCCGTCCTCCTCCTTCTCCGCTATGCTATGCTATGATATGCTATGCTATGCTATGCTATGCTATGCTATGCTATGCTATGCTATGCTATGCTATGTTATGCTGCGCTGTGCTTTGCTAAATTAAGCTATGCTATGATATGTTAAGCTAAGCTATGCTATGCTATGCTATGATATGCAATGCTATGATATGCTGCGTTATGATATGCTATGCTATGCTATGATATGCCATGCTATGCTATGCTGCGCTATGCTATGATAGGCTGCGCTATGCTATGCTATGCAATGTTATGCTATGACATGCTGTGATATACGATGCCATGCTAATGCTGCGCTGCGCTAAGCTAAGCTGGGCTGGGCTAAGCTAAGCTAAGCTAAGCTAGGTTAGGCTAAGCTAAGCTAAGCTAAGCTAGACTAGGCTAGGCTAGGCTAAGCTAAGCTAAGCTAAGCTAAGCTAAGCTAAGCTAAGCTAAGCTAAGTTAGGCTAAGCTAAGATGAGATAAGCAAAGCTAAGCTAAGGGGGCGCAACTGAGGGAACCGCGGGGCGGATACTGGGGGAACCGCCCGGGGCGAGGAACACTGCCCGGCCCCTTCAAGCCCAGCGAGTAAGAACCCTCTAGGCAGAGCCTAGGTAGGGAAAAAGTCAAAGAACCCTCGAAGAATTAGAGAAGCGAACAGCGTGCACTCGGAGGCCCGCGCGAACCTCTTGCGTCGGCGCTGGACCCTTCTCTCACCCCCCCCTGGTGCGGAGCGCGCCAGGGGGCGGCGCGGGAGGCGTCGCCAGGGGGGGGGGCTCCGCGCCGATCCAGGAAATCCGCGTCGTGGGCGTCGTGGGCGGCGGCGTCGTCGCCGTCGTCGTGGGCGTCGTGGACGTCGTGGGCGTCGTGGGCGTCGTGGGCGTCGTCGTCGTCGTCGTCGTCGTCGTCGTCGTCGTCGTCGTCGTCGATGCACCCAAACTGCCTGCAGGAGGCTCGCGGGCCTCCGGGAAGCCGAGGCCCCAGCGACCACGCGACGGAGCGATGACGTGCGGTTGGGCCTCGCACCGTCGGTCAGTTGGGCGGGCAGCGTGGTTTTGTCAGAGCCTGGGCTGGGGGGGAGGAGGAGGAGGAGGAGGAGGAGGAGAGGAGGAGGACAGGGAGGAGGAACAGGAGGAGGAACAGGGAGGAGGAGGAGGAGGAGGGAGGAGGGGAAGGAGGAGGAGGAGGAGGAGGAGGAGGAGGAGAGGAGGAGGAGGGGGAGGAGGAGGAGGAGGAGGAGGAGGGGGAGGAGGAGGAGGAGAAGGAGGAGGAAGAAGAAGAAGAAGGGGAGGAGGACAGGCAGCAAAGCACCGAGAAAGTGCATGCCCATACGGACCCTTTCTAGGGGCGTTCCAGATGGGCTCCGAGAAGATGGGACTGGAGGATCGCGCCGCGGCGATGCATCGGCGATGCATCGGAGACATCGGCGGTGCATCGGCGCCGCCGGCGTGGACAAAATCTGACTCCACATCGAGCCGCATCGGCGATGCATCGGCGACGCGGCGCGATCCCTGCACCCCATCTGCTCGGACACCACCTGGGCCTGGGTTCTCTCCGTGGAATGAAGACGTGGCCGAGGGGAGAGCCCCAGCGGTCTGCCCCAGCGGTCTGGATCCATTCCCCGGGACCAGCGCTTCAGCCCGAGTAATGTCTTGGTGGTCCCGAAGTCCTGAGAGGGTCCCCCAGAGGCCGAAAACTCCCGTCATGACTTATTGTGACGATCTGGGGATGACCGGAGCCCCGGAGCCCCGGAGCCCATATTTCCGCGTCACGTTCCGAGCCGGGTCAATCTGTGAGGGCCCTGGGGCCCCAGACCGAGCGAAAGCGCCCGCTGTGAAAAAACTGCAGCGCCAGGATCGGAGGGTGCTTGTGCTGTTTTTGTTATTCCTCCGTCGAGTGCAGCCGTGGCCCTGGGTAGAGCGACGTGCTCTATACATACGCACTGCTCCCCAGCCAGGTCCGTCCGGAACCCAGCAGCGGTGTACACGCCTCGCCCTCATGGCTTGGCCAGGAGGGCGCACACACAGCTCCTGGGTGCAGGATGGGCCTGGCCAGAGAGCAGCGGCTATGTACAGATCTCGTCACCCTGATGGGGAGAGCCCCCTGGGGGCCACGGGGTCTACAGCACCCTCGGGAGCTTGTGCTGAGGATGAGGATGAGGATGAGCATGAGGATGAGGATGAGGATGAGGATGAGGATGAGGATGAGGATGAGGATGAGGATGAGGATGAGAATAAGGATGAGGATGAGGATGAGGATGAGGATGAGGATAATGATGATGAGGATGATGACGATGACGACGCTGATGCTGATGATGATAATGATGATGATACTGATACTGATACTGATACTGATACTGATACTGATACTGATACTGATACTGATACTGATAATGGTAATGATGATGATGATGATGATGATGATGATGATGATGATGATGGTGATGATGATGATGATGATGATGATGATGATGATGATGATGATGATGATGATGATGATGATGATGATGATGATGATGATGATGAGGATGATGATGAGAAGGAGGAGGAGGAGGAGAACGTTGAGGAGGAGGACGTTGAGGAGGAGGACGTGGAGGAGGAGGAGGAGGAGGAGGAGGAGGAGGAGGAGAGTTGAGTGAAGACGTGGCCCTGGGGAGAGCCCCCTGGGGGGCCAAGGGTCCACGGCACCCTCCGGAGCAGCCCTCCCTCCCCTCAAGCGGCGCGCACCGCGCCGCGAGCCGCGGCAGGTCGGCCTGGAAGCCGTCGGAGCGGTCGGAGAGCACCTGCCGGCCCCCTAGAGGATCGTCGCGGCGAGCAGAGGTTGAGCAGGGACCGACCGTCCCGGCTTTCCTATAGCCTATAGGCATACCACGACATGTTCTTAAAACCCCAAAAACGTTCCAATAACCAAAACTCTGTTCGTAGAGCATAAGCCCGATGCGCTAAAACAAACCAGTCCCAGACAGAAATGTTCTAAGAACATGTTGTAGAAACCACACAAGGTTGTTAGAACATTCTGTGGCGGGCCTAATAGGCGAGCCAGGACGCTTCGCCACTGCTTAAAAAGGGTCGGCGGCGAGCGAGGGGGGGAAGTGAGAAGGAGAAGGCCTTCTCAGAAGGCTCGGAAGTCCCCCGGCCTTCCGAGAAGTTCTCTGAGCCTTCCCTGAGGATACAAAAACCTCTCAGAAGGCGCTATAGGGCTCCTGAGGAGTCCCGCCGCCTTCTGAGAAGGCCTTCTCCTTCTCACTTCCCCCCCTCGCCCGCCGCCGACAAGGGGCTTTGAGCCCACGCTCCCCTGATCTCGGCGGTCGAGGTTCGAGGTTTTCAGACGTTTTCGGGGGTTCTCGGCGGTGTACCAGCCTCGGGATGCTTGCCTTAGGCCTGTCCCCCTACGGGGGGATTCTGGATGAAAAATCAGAAATAGTCAAAAATAGTCCAAATATATATTCCAAAATAGTGCAACAATCGTCCCTGACTTTTTTTGTAACTATTTTGGAATACTCCTTCTGTGGAGGGACATGCCCGACTAAACGCCTGCCAGCAGCTGCGCCTCGCCGAGGGCGCTCCGGCGGTGCCCGCCTCGTCCCGCACGGCCACCAGAGGCCCGAGGGGGGCCCCGGCGCGCCCGGGGAGGAGGCGAGAGCCCTGACCTTCCAGAGAGCTATTTGTTAGCACTGGAGACCTAAAAACCTAAAAGGCTGAGCGACACAGCCTAAAGCAAGGACGCAGAATAGCTCTCGGATAGGTTTTTAAGTCGGGTGCTATTTTTTAGCCCTCCTGGGAGGTCAGGGAAGGGGAAGGCCTGCTCAGAGGGCGGCGGAGCTGCTCGGAAGCCTCCGTGCCCTCGGAGACGCTTCCCGCGGTTTCGGGGGAGGCTCGGAAACCTCCGCGGAAGGCCGGGGGGACTTCCGAGCCCTCCGAGAGGGCCTGCCCCTTCTCGCTCCCAGGCTCCTCCTCTCTCTCGCCAGGTCAGAGATCGAGAAGGCGAGGGTCAGAGGAGGCGCTCGGAGATCGGAGGCTTCGGGTCCAAGGATGCGGTCGAGGATCGGGTCGGGCGAAAGGGGGGGATAGCAAAGGGGGGATTTGAGAATCAGCTCACGTAGCTGAATTTCCCGGCGCCTCCCGCCGCCGGAGGCGGCTATGTATCGAGGAATGGGCCCCTCGGTGAGGCCGAAACCAGCTGCATGCAGCAAATTTCGTAACCCCCCCTTTCCCAATCCCCCCGTTTCGTCCGGCCCGAGAGGATCGGGGGCCAGGGGCACGGGCGAGGGCCAAGGGCCACAAAGGGTCAGGGCTGTGCGCGGGTCCAGGGCGCGGGTCGAGGGTCAGGGCTCTCAAACAAGGAGCGAAGGGGCCGTGGGACACACAAAAGAGAGGCCCACGACCGTCCAAGAGAGCCCCATGACAGCCCAAGAGGCGCCCAAGACGGTCCAAAAGGACCCCAAGAGGGCCCCAAGAGAGGCCCTAGATGGAGACCACGAACCGAAAATCCGAGCGTTCCGGTCCAAGGCAAAGGGCAAAGGCAAGGGCAAGGACCACCCAGAAAAAGGAAAGGGCAAGGAGAAAGGCAGCGAGAAAGGCAAAGGAGCTGGAATGAGCAAGAATGGGAAAGGCAAGTCAGCTGGAAACAAGAAGGGCAAGGGTGGCCAGAAGAATGCTTGGTATCCCAAGGGAGCAGGCAAGAACGGAGGCAGCAAAGGAGACAAATATGGAACAATACGTACAGAGAAAGGTGCTAACGGCAAAGGCAAGAAGGCTGGCAAGGCAGGTGGTTGGAACACCACATGGCAGGAGCGTCCGTGGAAGAATGGCTATCGTTGGTGACGTTTCGCCGGCGAGAAAACACAGTTCTTGCATTCGACGCTTCAGAAAACAGTGTGTACATACCAACGGACATCCCATGGCCAGTGGTGTGGCTTCTTAGCACGTTTCACAACAAGTACGTTTTTGATTCGGGGAAGCTCCCGAAATTAGATCAGGTGCGAAAGGATTTGAATGATTTCGTCAATCGCTTCCGCTGGAGATTCACTTTGGGGAACCAGTCTCATCCCGACAGGCTGGCATACAGATTACGGGGCTGGCGGACACCGATAGGCCCAGCAAACTTGCCAGCAGAGGTTGAATTTTGGTTGAGCCAAATGAAACACAATCTCATGAGTTCGGGCGCTTCGGCCATTCAGCGACTTCGGCATAAGAAGCGCGGAAACGTCTATCCGTTGATTCGCTTGGCATTTGCGTGGCTGGAAAGCTCAGACTATGTACCCATAAAGAACGACAAGGAAACAGGCGACACCCTTGTCTGGCGAAGTGACAACACCCAGATCGATGAAACGATTTTGAACGGACCTCAGTACCAGGAGGTTTCAACCGACCCAATCAATTTTGACAGCGTGGCGCGGTCTTATGTGAAACTTGCACAAGACATAGAGAAGTGTGAAGGTTTCCCCATCGCTTCGGATATCACCCGATCCCTCAAAGCTCCGAGGCACACTTACAAAGCACACCTTTTCAAAACATGCAAGACACACAAGGCGCCAGAACCGATTTCATTTCGGAACGTGCACGCGGCAGGCAAGTATGCCTTCGCAGGGCTGTCGCATTGGCTCGGCAGAAGGCTTCGCGAGGTCATCAAGCGGTATCCTCATGTGGTGCGGGACTCCGCCGACGCAGCCAGGAAACTAATGCGTACAAGACTGGCTCCGAGAGACCATTTGTGCACAATGGATGTGAAAGAGTTTTTCATGTCAGGGACAACGGAAGAGCTCGTGAATGACATGCTGCACTTGTTCTCCGGGAGGCTGCGTGTGCTCATTGAGCGCGCATTGTATTTACTGCTTGATAATCAGTTCATTACGGCGTCCACGTTGCCAGGCCAGTGCTTCAAAGTAGTGCTCGGTACGGGCATGGGCCTCCCTCATTCGGGAGACGTGGCCGACTTAGCATTGATTCGCCGAATGGAAACATGGGCTGTTGCAAATCTTACGCGTTTCAGCATAAAGCGGTACTTGAGATTCAAAGACGACATATTCTTGATCTGGAAACACAGTTCGCTTGGAGGCCAGTTCTGCAGCGAGCTCATGACCAAGTCAGGGTATTTTCGCCTAAAGGTTGTATCTCTTTCCATCCAGTCTGTGGAATGGCTGGAACTAGAAGTAGTGAGGGTCGCGGGTACCGTTGCGACAAAACCTCGTTTTAAGCACACGACCTTGGCTGTTCCCCTTGCCCCCAGTAGCGCCCACCCCCCGTCTGTGCACAGGGCGTGGCCACGGGCAAGGCTGGGGACACTGCGGACTCTGTGCTCGAACCCAAGTTTTTTCGAAGAAGCGCAGTGCGAGTTGAGAGAACGATTATCCCAATATTTTTCTGCTCAGTATGTGGATCGCGTCCTCCGCCCCCCCGCCGAAGACACGGGCAGGGGCGCTCGGGGATCGAATTCGAGCACGCTGTGGCTGAAGTTGCGGTATTCCCCTGGGCTTCAGCAAAGCCTGCAAAATACACTAGGTCATTTTCTCAGGCATGACGGGTACAGCGCGGTGATACTCAGGGCCATGGGGTGCGTGCCCGACGTACGTACCACGAATTACAGGGGCCTGCCAAACATGCATAGTTTGTTGGCGAGGCTCGCACATAGACCACACTAGGCGGCAGTAGGGGATGGTAGGCGGGATAATCATAATTATCATCTTTCCGTAAGGACGGAGAGGCAGGATACGAAATAAGACAGATTTTGTATCATTCGCTGTTCTTCCGTAGGCTGTTTGGGCCAAGCCTCAGAGCTGAGGGCTAGCAAAGCCGAGTCCACGCTCCCAACGCGTGGGAGGCAAGACGGATAGATTTCAGATCAGATTTGAGTCTGCGAGGCCAAAAAACGAGAGGGAGGCTCGGAAACCTCCGCGGGAAGGCCGGGGGGCTTCCGAGCCCTCCGAGAGGGCCTGCCCCTTCTCGCTCCCAGGCTCCCTCCTCTCTCGCCAGGTCAGAGATCGAGAAGGCGAGGGTCAGAGGAGGCGCTCGGAGATCGGAGGCTTCGGGTCCAAGGATGCGGTCGAGGATCGGGTCGGGCGAAAGGGGGGGATAGCAAAGGGGGGATTTGAGAATCAGCTCACGTAGCTGAATTTCCCGGCGCCTCCCGCCGCCGGAGGCGGCTATGTATCGAGGAATGGGCCCCTCGGTGAGGCCGAAACCAGCTGCATGCAGCAAATTTCGTAACCCCCCCCTTCCCAATCCCCCCGTTTCGTCCGGCCCGAGAGGATCGGGGGCCAGGGACACGGGCGAGGGCCAAGGGCCACAAAGGGTCAGGGCTGTGCGTGGGTCCAGGGCGCGGGTCGAGGGTCAGGGCTCGAAGGAGGAGTGAAGGGGCCGTGGACACACAAAAGAGAGGCCCACGACCGTCCAAGAGAGCCCCACGACAGCCCAAGAGGCGCCCAAGACGGTCCAAAAGGACCCCCAGAGGGCCCCAAGAGAGGCCCAAGATGGAGACCACGAACCGAAAATCCGAGCGTTCCGCTCCAAGAGGCCTCCTGGACGCCCCAAGAGGCTCCTAAGAGGCCCCAATAAGCGACAAGGGGCCCGAAGAATGCAAAAAGGAAACTGCAGAATGTTGTCTTGTTCCCTGCGATATTCACGAGCCGCCACCTTCCGAAACAGAAGGTTCAGGCGGGCAAAGAATGGTTCCCGCCTGCGAAATCACCCAAAGCCAGCCATCCATAAACAAAAAAACGACCCAGCAGCACCCCATTGACAACGATCACACGGGCACTCGACAGCCGTGCACCAATACGGGCCGGCGGAATGAGCGAAGCGACTAAATAAATACTCACAAGTAACAGGATTCCTCATATTTTCTCCCATACCTTCTGGCTCGTTGTCTTCCCCCCCACTTCCCATATTTTCCCATATCTTCCTGGGAGTCGACGATGAATTGTGTCTGTGTGCTTCTTCCCCTCCTGAAGGAGGGCCGAAGGATGCGGCCGAGGATCAGGGGTCGAAGGATACGGCCCAAGGGTCGAAAAGATCATGGTCGAGGACCCGAGGGTCAAAAGATACGGTCGGGGATCGCGGATCTGGGATCCGAGGCTCAGAAGGGACTGCCCAGCGTGCCGCAGCGGCGGCCCCGGCGACAGGCTCTGCCGTGCGAGCGCTGGCGGCGCGCAGAGGGGGGTAGGGGGAGGGGGGAAGGCTTCTTAGAAGCACCCCTGCTTCTTAGAAGGCGCGGGCCTTCTCTATAGACGTAAGGCCGAGGCTTTCTAAGAAGCAGGGCGCTTCTAAGAAGCCTGCCCCCCTCCTCCTACCCCCTTTTGCGCGCCGCCAAGAGCGGATGGCGTGTCGCTCCGCTCCGCGGCACGGGAAGCGTCGACAGGCTCGGGAAGTTGACGCTCTGGGACCGGGACGTGGTTGGCGCGCCGCGCCGAAGCGTTGGCCAGAGCCGGCGACGCGGCACGCTGAGCACACGCTCCTGACCATAGCAAGGATGTCGAGGTCAGTGGACGATCCTCGCCCTGCTTGGGCCGCCCGGGAGCTGCTCGTCGCCACGGCTGGACATTCGCCTCCGGAGCTCTGGTCAAAGCGCACCCACAGGGAGGTCGGTCGGGGGGCTCGACGCCCAAGAGGAGAGACCAGGACGAGGATCCAGGATGCATCTGGAAGTCTCCACCTCAGGGGCCTTGAGGATCCAGGATGCATCTGGAAGTCTCCACCTCAGGGGCCTCATGGGGGCCTCCGGGGGCACCTCAGGAGACCTCAGGTCTGAACGCCCACAGTGGGTACGGAAACAAAAATGGATACGATGCCGAACGGCAAAGGGTGTCCACAACCGACAGCGCCCGCTGATGGGCAGGCGGCCCTCTGTCCGAGTGGACAACGTCCGCGGCGACGCCGACAGGGCATCCTGCTCAGACTGAACAGGACATGCAGTCGGTCTGTGCAACCACCAGGAGAGTCCAGAATCGAATCGATAAATCGGATCGGCAATCGACATGAATCGGATCGGCGGAAATCGGCAGCCGAATCGGGAAAAGTCGGATCGGCGGAAATCGGCAGGCTAGTATGTCTCCAATAAGGAATCGGAGCCCAGATCGGAATCCCAAGTCGAATCGAGTCGGAATCGGAATCCATCGAAATCGAATCGAATCGAATCGGAGGAATCGAAGAGAGCCCTGAACCACTCTTTCCGCACCCATTGCGGGCGTGCCGATCAGGCGACCCGCGTCAGCACCTCCCAGCCGGTGGGCAGGGCCAGGATCTGGTCCTGCATGTCCCGCCCGGCGGACTCGTCGTCGGGGGAGCACGGCGGCAGCACGGCGTACGAGCGGCCCCCGAGGGTCAGCGAGTGCTCCACCGGCTCCGGCACGTACACCCAGTCGAACAGGCCGTAGTAGCGCAGCATGCGCTGGAACGCGGCCTCCTCCGCCAGAGACTCGAACGCCGGCGGTGGAGTCGGATGATCTGGATCCTCGATGCTCCTGCACTGCATGTACTGCACGAGGGGGAGGAACAACCGGGGCGCGAAGTCGACGAAGACGCTGCCGTCGGGGTCCCGCTTCACGGGCCAGCGACCGCTGAGCCAGGCGCTGAACATCGAGTCCTCGCACTGCGCCAGCGTGGACTGCAGGACGGACACGCGCTGGACGCCGCTGACGTTGAAGTCGACGGTGTCGGCCACCCAGCTCTTCTTGGCTCGGCGGTGCACCCCGGGGGGAAGTGAAAGGGCCCCAGGACACACAAATAGATACACACAAATAAAAGGATTCCCCGGAATTTCTCATATTTTCTATGTTTTCGTCTTCCCCCCCACTTCCCATAATTTCCTGGGACTCGACGATTCATTGTGCCTGTGTGTTTTTTCTCCCCCTGAGGAAGGCATGCTAGGAAGGCTCAGAGGGCCTCGAGCCTTCGGAGGTGCTGCCTGGGCCGTCTCAGAGGCCAGGAGCAGCTCCTCAAAACCTGGGGGGGGCCTCCAAGAAGCCCCGCCGCCCTCCGAGAAGGCCTGCAGGAGGAGGAGGAGGAGGAGGAGGAGGAGGAGGAGGAGGAGGAGGAGGAGGAGGAGGAGGAGGAGCGGCGCGCCGCCGAGCGAGGCTTTGGGCCACAGGGCCACAGCTCGGGTCTCCCGCGGCCGCTCGGGACAGCCAGCTCAGGGCACCCCCCCCGGAACGCCTTCGGCGAGGCGCGGCTGCTCGAGCACGCTTCGAGGCGGGGGCACGTCGGAAGACGTCGAGCTTCCCCCCGCGGCGCGCCGCCGATTGGTGGCCTCGAACCGCGCACGCTCCTCCCGCAGTCTCGCGTAGGCCTCGGAGGTGCCGTCCGCGTCCAGGGAGAGCTTCAGGGCCTCCTCCGACGAACGAACAACACACACACACACACATCAGTACCCAGAAGGGGGGCGGAGGGGGCTATGGGTGCGTGTTGTCGGATGGGGGTCCCCGCCGGAACGGAAGCCTGCCCCAGGGTCCGACATCCCGCACCCATACCCACAGCCAGTCCTCCTCCTCCTCCTCCTCCTCCTCCTCCTCCTCCTCCTCCTCCTCATCCTCCTCCTCCTCCTCCTCTCCTCACCTCCTCCTCCTCCTCCTCCTCCTCCTCCTCCTCCTCCTCCCTCCTCCCTGCCTCCTCCCCCTCCTCCTCCTCCTCCTCCTCCTCCTCCTCCTCACCACCACCATCTCCTCCTCCCCCTCCTTCCTCCTCCTCCTCCTCCTCCTCCTCCTCCTCCTCCTTCTACTTACCCCCTGTGGGTATGACATTGGGCGTGCTGGTCGCCCGTCATCCTCGGTCAGCCGCGACTGCTCGGCGAGGAGGGCCTCCTGCAGGTGCGCGTGGTCCTCCTGCTCGGCTCTCAGCCGCTCCCACGCGACCTCGAGCTCCTGCGACGGAAGGGGTGGGGCTCCTCGAGCTCCTCTGACGGATCCGTGTGAGGACGCTGCCTACAGTCGGGGCGTTGACCTCAGGAACCCCCCAAATAAGGAACGAGGCCCCTGTTTTTCAAAAAGTTAAACGTCGATGTCAGATCGAAGGCCTGAGGAAACCTGAGGCAAGCTGCGAAACAGTGAAGGAACACGGAGCCCCTCCCCAACGAAAAGGGTTCCTTCTTCAGCGCCCCGACTGTAGAGGCGTCGCGCGGCACCACGAGACCCACCCAATTGACTTAGCGGGCGAAGAACGGTGCAACCTAAACTCTTCCGTCACCGGGGGCGCCTGTCCCGGGGCGGCTGGGAAGTTTACACCTTGACGTGCCGCCGTAAGGGTATAAACTTTCCAGCCGCCCTGGGACAGGCGCCCCGTGTATTCATACCACTCTTCGCCGGCTAATTCACGGCGGATCCACGTCGGATTCACGACGGAACGTCGGGTTCACGTGTGATTCACGCCGGGCCTACGTCGAAACATCGCCGCGGGAGCGTCGTCCCATAGCTGACGGGGCGGACGTGTGGACCAGATGATACAAGTACTGCGCGCAGCACGAGGCCTCCAACTGGCCATCGCTCGGACGTCCATTCCCTGTGCTTTTTTCGGTTTCGTGCGTGGTTTTTTCGCCGAATGATCAAGGATGCTCCTCGATGGCCCTCGCCGAGAAAAAACGCACACGTCCGAGCGATGCCAGGCCAAGATTTTCCTCATAGCGATCCCAGCCAGGCAAGCCCGAACTCATCTGGAGCCCCGAAACGGTGCGGTGACAGATCGTGCGGTGACCTCGAAATCCCCCGAGACCTCGTCCTCGGAGAACGACCCGAGTCCCAGAACCGTGCGGTGACCCCGAATCCCCACCGACTCACCGCACGGTGTGGTCACCACCCCGCTTGGGGGCCCCCGAACTCAACCGAATCGCGGCACCGAGTCCGTTCGCAGCCGGAGCGCATCGTCGACGCGTCGGCCCGGGCCGGAGCGCGATCGGACCGCCGCGCCTGGCTCCGGCCAGCCCGGGCCGATGCCTGTGCATCGGCACCGAGCCGAATCAAAAATCGGAAGCGCGGCCCCAGCCTGCGAATCTAAATAGAATTATCCCGGCAAAGCAACATAACAGCGATGTGTAGAATCATATCTGGAAGCATTCTCCTTAAGATTCAGATCAGAATCCAGTTGTAAGATTCTGCTGTTCTCACAGTCGCAGTCGCATTCGCGATGACAGTCGCAGTGGCAACGGCATTCGCAATCACAGCCTCAGCCTCAGCCTGCCTGAGTATCAGCCTGCCTCACTCTCAGCCTCAGCCTGCCTCAGCCTGCCTCAGCCTCAACCTCAGCCTGCTTCAGCCTCAGCCTCAGTCTGCCTTCAGCCTCAGCCTCAGCCTCAGCCTCAGCCTGCCTCAGCCTCAGCCTGCCTCAGCCTCAGCGTCAGCCTCAGCCTGTCCTCAGTATCAGCCCTAAGCCTCAGCCTCAGCCTGCCTCAGCCTCAGCCTCAGCCTGCCTCAGCCTCAGTCTGCCTTCAGCCTCGGCCTCAGCCTCCGCCTGCCTCAGCCTCAGCCTGCATGAGCCTCAGCCTCAGCCTCAGCCTGCCTCAGCCTCAGCCTGCCTCAGCCGCAGCCTCAGCCTGCCTCAGCCTCAGCCTCAGCCTCAGCCTCAGCCTCAGCCTGCCTCAGCCTCAGCCTCAGTCTGCCTTCAAGCCTCGGCCTCAGCCTCAGCCAGTGCTCAGCTGCCCGGGCAATGGAAGTCTGGGAACTCGAAGACCACATTAGCTCGGCATTCAAAATGTGGCCGGGAATGGAATTCTGGGAACTCGAAGAACACGAAGTGGCCTACAGTTGCTCCGGGCATTCAAAATGTACCCGGGAATGGAGTTCTGGGAACTCGAAGACCACGAAGTGGCCTACAGTTGGCTCCGGGCATTCAAAATGTGGCCCGGGAATGGAGTTCTGGGAACTCGAAGAGCACGAAGTGGCCTACAGTTGGCTCCGGGCATTCAAAATGTGGCCCGGGAATGGAGTTCTGGGAACTCGAAGAGCACGAAGTGGCCTACAGTTGGCTCCGGGCATTCAAAATGTGGCCGGGGAGTGGAGTTCTGGGAACTCGAAGACCACGAAGTGGCCTACAGTTGGCTCCGGGCATTCAAAATGTGGCCCGGGAATGGAGTTCTGGGAAGTCGAAGAGCACGAAGTGGCCTACAGTTGGCTCCGGGCATCCAAAATGTGGCCCGGGAATGGAGTTCTGGGAAGTCGAAGAGCACGAAGTGGCCTACAGTTGGCTCCGGGCATCCAAAATGTACGCCGGGAGTGGAGTTCTAGCAGCGCCAAGAGCGATTTTGCGAGGATGTCCCAAGCGATTTGGGCTTCGACGGCAGCCGCCCCGGGTCCCGCCCCGACCCCCCTGAGGAGTCATGATGCTCTCTTTTGACCCTACTAGAAACCTATCAGTCTTCGCTGTTAGGTAAAAAGAAGAAGAAGAAGAAGAAGAAGAAGAAGAAGAGAAGAAGAAGAGAAGAAGAATAAGAAAAAAAAGAAAAAACGGCACAAACATAAACGTCTGGAGCTCCGCGCGGATTTCTTGGATCTGCGCCGGACGACCCTCCCTGGCGCCCGGAGCGCGCCGGGGGCGGCGCGGAGGCGCCGCGGGGGGGGGGGGGGCAGTGCGGATCCGAGCAAGCCCGCGGGGAGCGCCAGAAGTTTATGTCTTTTATGCCGCTTGTTCTCCTTCGACGGACGGCGGAGAGTCTTGAGCCGGGACCGACCGTCCTGGCATTCCTATAATCATACCACGACATGTTCTTAGAACCCAAAAATGTTCTAAGAACAAAAAACTATGTTCTTAGAACATAAACCCGACGTGATAAAACAAGACAGATTCCGCCAGAAATGCTCTAAGAACATTTCGTGGAAACCACAAACGGTTATTAGAACATTGTTTGGTGGGGCTATAGGCGAGCCAGGACGATTCGCCGCTGCTTGAGAGTCGGATCGTGCGCGGCCCCGCCGGGCCGGCGCCAGGCCAGGGATCGGCGGCGGCGCGCTCCTGGCCTGGCCCTGGGATTAAGTCGGGCCTGTCCCCCTGCAGGGGGATGTTCGACGAAAAATAAAACATACCCCAAAAATAGTCAAACAGTAATCCACAAATGGTCTGGGGACTATTTTGGGGATATTTTTGTTGACCTTTTTGGGGCATTTTTGATTGTATTTTTTCTCTTTCGTAGAAAATCCCCCTGTAAGGGGGACGCGCCCGACATAACCCTATAGGAGGGGGGCGCGCCGCCCGGAGGCCCGAGGCCAGGGGCTCTCCGCGGTGCGCTCGGCGCGCGCCCCCTCCTTGGCACTCCTCGCGGGGCCCTCTCATTGGCACTCCCGCGGGGCCCTCGGGCTTCTTATCGCGCGCGCCGCGCCCCTCGCGGCGCGAGGTCGCCCTCGCGCCCTCGAGCCGCCGCCCTTCGGCGGCGGGCGAGGGGGGGGGGCCTGGCATCGCTCGGACGTCCATTCCCTGTGTTTTTGCTCGGTCTCGTGCGTGGCTTTTTCGCCCAATGATCAAGGATGCTCCTCGATGGTCCTCACGAAAGGAAAAATGCGCACGTCCGAGCGATGCCAAGGGGGGGGGGGAGCGAGCAGGCGAAGGCCTCCTCGGAGCGCGGCGGGGTTTCTCCCAGGAGGCCTCCGGCCTCCCGGGAGGAGCGCTCGACGCGCCTTCGGGGAAGGCCCGGGGAGCTTCTCGGGAGGCCAGGGGGGCCTCCTGGGAGGAGCGCTCTCGGGGAAGGCCCGGGGAACTTCTCGGGAGGCCAGGGGGGCCTCCTGAGCCTTCCTTGGGAGGCTTGGGGGGCCTCTTGGAGGAGATCGGTCAAAGGAGGGGTGGCTCCCGGATCAGGGTCCCTCCCACCAGGAGGCCAACCTGTTGCCAAAACCTCAGGACAATCAGTGACTGTGGCCTTCTCGCGGAGGTCTCTTGGAGCCTCTGTGGGGGATCTTCGGAGCCTCCTGGGGGCCTCCATGGGCATCTCTTGGGGACCTCCTGGGGCACCCTCGGGAGCCTCGAGGGGCCGGGGAGGCCCGCCCCTCCCGCTTCCCCCCCCCCCCCCGGGGGTCGCCGCCGAGTGGCGGAAGGCAGCAGCTCTGGCCCGGACCGTGACGCACGAGGCGCGGACGCCTTCGCGCCCCTTGGGAGCGACCTGGAGGCTCTCGGGGGGGTCCTCGTCTTCCCAGAGGGCTCTGCGGATGGCCCCCCGGGTCGGACGGGCGGCGGCCCCCAGGGGCCGCAAGCGGCGAACGAGCGTCGCCCTCGGTTTCCCAAGGTGCTGGAGGTGTGGGTCCTCTTCCTCCTCACTCCTCCGCCTCCTCCTCCTCCTCCTCCTCCTCCTCCTCCTC